CAGCTTGTGACACACAGACTCCCATTTGTCTATGAGAATTGGCTTACTCTTCTAAATCAAGTAATTCAAAGAATGATTGAATCCCTACAGTGCAGAAATTGTTAAATTGTTCATTACTACATGTCCTTTTGCAGAAAGTAAAAAAAATGGTGGATGTTTCGTACCTGCCATGGCCAAGCATTGGGCTGAGATTCAACTCCTCCAATGATACGTGGAGTTTCAAAGCACTGCCCTACATTAAAGAATTAAGACATCATTTTATGAATATATCTGTTGTGCATTTATCAAATCTCACTATTTCATGTAAAGTGTATGTCAGTTGTACAGTGACTGGGTATGAATTATATTCTTGAGTTCACTGCTCAGTGGAGTTTAAATTTGTTGCAACTGAAATAACATGACAGTGGAATATGTAGTTATGTGCTCTACAATGAGCATTGCAGAAATATGATACCATTGGTCTTGACTAGACTTCACTGCCTTCAGATGGGACACATGCACAGTTGAGTCATGTAACTGTTGACAGCTGTTCTGCTCTGCATTATTTCCCCATTTCATACAAAGACAGAACTTGTATTTATATAATGCCTTTCACACCTGCAGGATGTTCAAAAACTCTTCACAGCTAATGAAGTACTGTACTTCTGAAGTGAGGTCACTATTAGTTTGTAGGTAAACATGACAGCTAATATGTGCACAACACAGTCGCACTAACAGCAATGAGATAAAAATCCAAATAGTCCATGTTTTAGGTGTGTTGGATGAGGAATAAACGTTGGCCAGGACTCCAGAAGTCCTCCCTTCTCAGTTTCCAATTGTGCAGTGGATTTTTAAATACCCACCTGAAAGGGCTGCAGTTTAACAACTCATTTGAAAGATAGGCAACATTGGCAATAAAGTATTCCCCCAACTATTCAACTGTAATGACAGCCTACATGTATGTACTCACGTCTCTGGAGGAGTGCTTCAGATCATTATCCCCAAGAGGTTTTCTCCATTATCTAATGATTAATAGTACAACTCTCCGGTGTGACTGGACCACTTGTATCCCTGTATAGCAAGGAGGTGATCTACACAATATTTTTTCTTGAGGTTACTTCACAGAATATTCTCAAGTGAAAAAAAAACCATGTCCTCTTTGTGAACATATAAGAGATTGTAAAGTTTATATAAAATGAAGCAAAGAAATCTAGATCACACTGAACCAACTTGGGTCCATGTTGACCAAATTAATGCTTGCTGAACATCAGTTATACTGCAAGATGCAAATGTTTCCACTCACCAAGCAAAGCAAGGCTCACCAAGACTACCAGTCTCAACATTTCGGTACCTGTGCTGGTTGTGTGCAGCGACTGATCTTGCAGTGTGACTTTACTTTAATACAGTTTTCTAAACTACAGAATTGGCAATAGCATGTCAATTAATGTGCTAATTGTGGGAAAGTCACTGACTGTAGAGAGCTACATTTGTAATATGCATCATTCATTTTTGTAGTATTGCTGTTAATATGTGAAGGATTCCAGCTGATTTCAATTCAAACAACAAATAAATTAATAATTTGAAATTTTATCTCCCCAGCACTTCTTGCTTGGGTACAGTTTTAAAGCTGCCTTCACCTTCTTGTACATTGTTCAGGTGACTGTTATTTACACGTGGTTCTGTACACTTAGTGTCGCAAACTATTTGATTGCAGGGCGCATTACAATTTGTCCAGACATACTGTCTTTCGGCAGGGAGTGCTGGATAGTACTGGGGTGGGATGAGGAGATGGGGAGCGATACCTGGATGACTTTCCCCTCCTCAGGGCCACTGATGTCATTATAGCACTGCTATTCTGACTAATATGACCCAACTAGCAAGTCAGCCATGGTTTTGTGGTAGCACTGTTATCCCTGACAAGGCACATTTGAGGGTTTGAATATATAATCTAAGATGACAGTCCAGTGCAATACAGAGGGAGTGCAGCCCTTTCACAGGTGCTATCTCTTGAATGTAAACTCCTCTCTGCCTTTTCAAGTGGCATCATTTCAAATAGATCAGGATAGTTGTCCCAGTTTTCTCAGCAATGTTTACCTTGCAACCAACATCACTAAAAGCAGACTATCTGGCCAGTTCTGAGGCCAGGTCACTGGACCCGAAACATTAACTCATTTTTTTCTTCACAGATGCCACCAGACCTGCTGAGCTTTTCCAGCAACTTCTGTTTTTGTTCCTGATTTACAGCATCTGCAGTTCTTTCAGTTTTTAATCTGGTCATATTTATCTTATTACTATTTTTGGGAGCTTGTAAGTGGAAATTGGTATTTCCACAGGGTGTAAATAGTGCTATACAACTGGAAGTTCTTTCTGATAATGTGTATAAGTTTTTCCCTGTTAATTGTGATCGTTTAGTTGATGCAAATTGCAAATAGCAAATAGAACATGTTGTTTAGATTGCTAAACTGTGAAATGAATACAGCATTTTAAAACAAAAGAGAGCAACTGAAGTGATCAATAAAACGGAGCTATTAACACTGCTTAACATACAAATAACAAGGTAAAGGGCTCTTGTTGTGCAATGGGAAATGTCCTTATCTCTGGATCAGGAGACCTGGATTCAAATCCCACTTGCTTCAGAGGTGTGTCATAATATCTCTGTAGATAATTTTCTCATCGACCTGCTCAAATAACAAGATTCCTCCCTCACCTCCTTTTCTAATACATTGATGATTGTATTGGCACCATTTCAAACTTTTACCCCAGGCTGCAAGATTTAATTAACTTTACTTTTAATTTCCACCCTTTCATTGGTTCACCTTGGAATCTCTTGTTCCTTCACCCTCTATTTCCATCTTCAATAGTAGCCTATCAACCAATATCCATTATCTCCTACAACTATGTTGACGACACCTTCTCCCACCGGTTACCTGCAAGAACTCTTTCAGTTTCTTTATGTGTCACGTGTTCTGACAATGCCATTGTTCTTTTCTACCCACCATCTCATCCTCAATCCTGCAAAGGCCCTCAACCACATTTGTTCCATTTTGCACTCTTCTGCTCTGATCCCTTCCCCCTCCTTCTCAGAACCACAACAGACTTCCTACAGACAAAGGGGGTGGCCATGGGTACCCGCATGGGCCCAAGCTATGCCTGCCTCTTTGTAGGTTACGTGGAACAATCCCTCTTCTGTACCTACACTGGCCCTAAATCCCACCTCTTCCGTTACATTGATGACTGTATCGGCGCCGCCTCGTGCTCCCACGAGGAGCTCAAACAGTT